TGGGGGTCTGGCGTCTGCACAGCCGGTGTGAGAGCAGCCCTTCCCCCAAATGAGGCGGGCGCAGCTGGCCTCTTCCCACCCGACCGCCCGGCTCGCCAGTCAGACTGAGGTCGCCAACACAGCAAAGGCCCCGGCAAAGCCAACCTTCGACTGACGTGGCCCCTTCACTTCTCAGACAGGAGAGACAGCCCCCCAACACACACCCGAGGACCTGAAGTGGCCTCCATCCCCCAAACCACATGGTAAGGGCTAGTTAGAGGGCCAACTCCATCACCATGCGCTGGGACCTCACTCAGTCTCCCCACCTCCCTGAGCCTCAGTTTCCTCATCCGGAAAATGGGTCTAATGGTCACGATCATCATACCACAGGCGGGACCCAGAGAGCTGGCAAATCAAAGCCACAGAAAGAGAAAGAAAAATCTAGAAGGAAGCAATTTTCATGTCGGCAAATGGGCTTGCTTTGTGATTAAACAAAACCCACTTTTATTTTATGGTTCAGAATCATGTCGGTGTGGATGTCTGGCCATCTTGGACGGGACAAGGTGGAGATATTTCATCATTTAAGCCCCTGCAGGTTGAGTCACCCTAAATTAGTATGTCCTCTTAAAATCCTGCTGAGGTCATCAAAAAATGCACAAAGTCTTTTTTATTTTATTTTTTTGTGCCCCTAGCGGAAACTGAACCCAGGACTCTCTGGTCCGCAGGCCGATGCTCCAACCGCTGAGCCAAACCAGCCAGGGCAAAAAATGCACAAAGTCTTAACACAGTGACCACATTCAGAGGTCCCCGCAAGACACCCCAAGGCTGAGGCGGGAGAAAGGGAAGGGTGTACGCAGACGCAGCCGGTCTCACTGGCTGTGTGACCGCAGGCAAGTCACCTCACTTCCCTGTTCCTCAGTGTCCTCGCCTATAAAGTGGGGACAATGATCACCCCTGCCTCACAGGGGATTCTGAAAGATTAAATACATTATAACACATAAAGTGCAACACAATGACTATTATAAACTGTCATGATTGCTGCTGCCATTGGCGACTACTTCACACCTTCGCTAGGTTTATGACCCTGACTGCAGGCGGCAGCAGCCCACCTCGACCCCTGGGGCTCCCTGGGACCCCGGAAAGGTGGCACCTCCGTCCTCCCTCCAGCTGGCGGAAGGGATTACTGTCAGATGGAAAGAGACACAGGTTGGAGCCGGAGATTAAAAACAAATACAATCCTCAGGCAGGCATCCATCCATAATTATGAATTTGATGTAATTAGGCACCCCACTAACTTCATCACTTATTTATTTACAGGATTGCTTATTTAATTTGCGGGCCTCCTTCCCGAAAAGTCATCTCAGCCAACACTCCTCGGGCGAGGGAGGAGGCGGGGGAGGCCCACGCTGTCCCCACTCCCTCTCCTGGGCTTCCGCCCTTCATGCTCCTGCCTCTCCCCGGGGCTCCCCAGAAGGCCTGCCTGACTTTGCCAAGACGCCGGGCTCGTGCAAGGCCCGACATGCAGTCCACTGTGCTTGGTGCCAACGGACAGTGTTTGACCCAGAGTGGACCCTCCCTCACACCCTCCGCTGTCCCCCAGAAGGGTTGTTCTGGCCCTGGTGTGACCCTCTGGACCGGCAAACGCATCAGAGCAACAAAAGGGCTGGTACTTCCCAGCTTCTGGGAGGACAAAGAACACTCAACTCTTGCCCAGTGACTTCAGGGAACTTACCTGAGCTCCCAGAGCCTCGCTGACCTCATCGGTAAAATGGGTGCATTAAAAACAACACCCACAGCTCGCTCACACCAAAACACCAGCTGCTATTACCCAGCGCCACCCACGGCCTCAGCCCATGCAACATGGCAAGAAAAAGCAATGAGAGCCACAAAGACTTCCAAGCTTTATTCATAATAGCCCCACAGTGGAAACAACCTAAATGTCCATCAGCTCACGAACGGACAGTCCCAACTGTGATACATTCACACAACAGAGTATTACTCAGCAATAAAAAATAACCGACTGATCCGTGCAACAACAGATAACTCTCAAAGACATGCAGAGAGAAAGACGCCAAATACAAAAATGCACATAGTTTATAATTTTATTATGAAAATCTAGACAATTCTATAACAGATCAATGGGTGGGGGATATGGATTCTTGGGGGGGAGGGGTGACGGAAACACTATCTTGATGGTGGTGGTTGTTACATGCGTGTTTACATTTGTCAAAACTGATGGGTGACTTATTACAGGTTAATTACATCTCCACAAGGGCTGGGTTTTATCAACCATGTGAGTATATATCAGCACCCTGATTTATGCACTCAGGCCCAGGAAGGTCAGAGTCTGCCTCTCTGCCCGTCAAGGTCCCCCATCTACAAAGGCCGGGGTATAAATAGCATGGTCCTAGGGGAGCTATTGTGGAGTAAAATGAATCACAGGGCATACAACAGGGGCCTCATTATTGCTGCTGCAAAACAAGGAGCAGGTAAGCACCAGGCCCAGATAGGACCAGCCAGGATTCTTGTCCCCCCGACACCCACAAGCCCCCAACCAGGCGGGACTCCGGCGAGGTAGCTGTCCCTGTCACCGAAGGCTGCAGGCAGCCAGGCTCCTCAGCTCCCCCCAAGCTGCTCCCCCCAAGACAGGGAACAGAAAAAGGTGGGAGGTCTGTGGGAGGGGTGACCGCGAGGGCACGGCCTGCCTTGGGAGGTCATTTTTGGACAGGAGTTGGTCCAAGGAGAGGACACCCTGGTAAGTGGGCAGGACAAGGGTCACCCCGGAGCCCGTCCACTTCGGCACGAACAAGAATAATGAAAGGACAGCGGGGTGCGGGCGACAGGGACAGGAGCGAGCCCGGCCCGGGCACAGGGCAGAGCCTGCTCCCTGTGAGTGACAGGGTGGCAGGCGGCGTCTGGGAGCCACGGCGGGAGGGACGTCCCCCGGGCCCGATTAGAGGGCCAGCCACCGGCAGACACGCTCAACTGTCAGCTTGTCCTCCCAGCCGCCATCAGAGGCACCATTAATTGCTGTCATTTGAGGGTGGCCTGTGGGGAGAGGGAGGGGGTTGTGGGAAGGAGAGCGAGGAGGAAGGGAGGAGGGGGTGGGAGGAGGGGAAGGGAAGGAGACGGGGGGGAGGGGAGGACAGTCTGCCCAGAGCTGAGCCTCCCGAGCTGGAAGGAAAGAACCTCCCTACTCTCCTTCCTCCTCCTCCTCCGGCGGAGGGGCCAGGGCCCTGTCCAACCACAGACCCATTGCCCGGAGGGACAAACAGAGACCAGAGAGATGTGATCACATACACACCCGGTCGCCTGTCTGTCCGGTGCTGACCTTCCCCCTCAAGGTACCCAGAAAGCCTGGCCACCTCACTTTCCCATCGGCCTCCACCCACATCCAAACCCACACCCCCCTCCACGGGCACCACACCGGATCTTCCACCTGGGCTCACGCAGGATCAAAACCCACGCGTGGCTTCAGACCAGCCGAATGCCCTCCTCCGAGCACCTGCGCCAGCACGAAGGACTCCAATCCTCCCTCTGCTACTCGCACACTCGGGGACACCATGTCACCTCCCCGGGCTTCCGCTGTGCACTGGGGGCGACGACAGGGCCCCCCTCACGCCGCTGTGAGGGTCAGACAACACGACTGCACTCAGCAGAGAGGACACGTCGCTGCCGCTGCTGGTCCACGACCATCCTGTGCCCTTGACCCCACACGGCGTCCTGCCTGGCCCGACCGCCCCAGATGACGGGGGCTCCGCAGGTCCCCAGCTGCCGGCACAGTCGTGGGGCAAGAGCAAGGGGTCAGCATCCTTCCGGCCGCCTGTCCCCAGACAAGCCTTGTCTCTGGGCTGAGGGAGCTCCTAGGAGCATTAGGGGAGGACCCCCTCCCCTCCCCCATCTGTCTGCTCCCCTCCTCCCGCAGAGGTGATGGATCGCCCCAGAGGAGGAAGCTAAGTGCCTGCAGACAAAAAGCCCTTTTATCGTCCTCGGGTGGGCCTCTGGCTTGACAAGCAGATAACTCAGCCCCGGAGGCTGAGCTCCCCATCAGGCCGCGATTGATGGAGGCCGAGGAGGAAGGGAAATGTCCAGGCAGACGAGGCCACCGTCCCACTTCAAAGGTCCGCGCACGCCGTGTGGAAAACCGGGGCCGATCACCGAAAGGGACCCCCACGCCTGAGTCGCCCAGGCTCCCCACCTCCGCGATGATACCCACCACTGTGGGGGCCGGCTCAGGAAGCAGGCCACCTCCCAGGCTCTTGGTCCCTGTTGCTTCCTGGGGCTCTGACAGCTCGGGGGCAAAGGAGAGAGGCCTGCCTTAAGAAATCCCGCCCGCGGGACTCATGCCGATGCCTGCAAATCAACAGGTCCATTCCGCACAGCCTCAGGGCCTTTGCACAGGCTGCCCCCTCGGACACACCCTCCAGAGACCTGCACACTCCCTTCCTCCCAGATCTTTGCTCAAATGCCACCTTCTCAGGGAAGCCCACCCTGACCACCCCCATTAGAAACTGCAACCCCAGCCCACCCGTGTTTCCCAAGCCCCCCTGCTGGTTCCTCACCCCAGTGCTTCCCACCAAAGGACACGCTATGTGTCTGACTTGTTTACTGTGTCTGCCCAGGGAGGATGGTGCTTGTCCATCTGACTCACAGCGCCCAGAAACAGGCCTGGCACACACTAGGTGCTTTAGACATAATCGGGCAAGGGATGAATGTTCTGCAAGAGGACTGGAATCTCCCAGCAGGGCCCCCCCTGAGCCAGGCCACGCTGAGTGCCCAGCAGTGCCCTCAACGGCCAGCTCGGAGGCCCATTTGACAGACAAGGAAACTGAGGCCCTGGAGTGTCTCGGCTCCCTGGGGCTCACACCCGAGTCTGTGGGAGGCCGGCCCCCTGCAGACCGCCCTGGGAGTCCAGGACAGCAGTCCAGGGCTGGATGCCGAAACCAGGACTGAAACCGCGCCCCCATCACCTCAGCGCTGCAGTCACAGGAAATGGGGGGAGTGGGGACATGCGAACCTACCAGAAAGGGCCACCAGCAACGCGACGTCCTCGGAGACTCTGGGGAACCTGCAGGGAAAAACAGGGAGCTTGTTGGTAAAGATCGCATCCTCCGCACAGGGGCTCCGCAGGACCCACTGACGTGGGTGGGGACGGTCCAGCCACGGCCACGCACTCCCGACACCACTCCGAGAGCCCGGCTCCGCACACCCCGAGCTAGAGAATCAGTCTCATGACCAGTCCCAGAGCTGGGAAGTCCCAGGGCTGGGAGTCCAATCCAGACCACGGGGTCAGAAAGGTCCTTACATGGGCAAGGCCACCAAGGGGCCCCGACCCACGGCAGTGTCACCGTGAAACTCCCCGGTGAACTTCCCAGAGGACGCTCTAAACAAGCGAGTGAGTGACACCTGGAAGGGGGGGCAGCTGTCGCCACGAAAGCATTCGAGTCTTCGTTCGGAGCCAGAACCGTGCGGTGACAGCCAGCACCCAGAACATAAAAAGGACACCATAAGTCCCTAAGAGCCAGTCAAGCCAACAGAAAAACGAGGGCAGGCTCACTGACGCGTCGCGGGGATGGCTACACAGACGGCCAGTGCGCAGGGGGAAAGTCGCTCGGTGTCACTCACTATCAGGAAGGTGCCCGTCAAATCCCCGAGAGACCCGCGCACCCTGTGGATGCTGCGCTGAACAGGCGGACAACTGCAAGTGTCGGCAAGACCGGCCGAGAACCCCGGAGAGCGCCAGGCGGGCACCGGGCGGGCGGCGACACCCCTTTGGAGAACCTGCTGCCAGTTTCCTATCACGTTAAACAGCCGGTTGGGCGATCACGTGACACAGCAATTCCACTCCTGGGTGTTTACCCGTTCATCCGTGTCTGTGTGTTTATGCCTTTTTTATTGTGTTGGCGTCTGCACACAAAAAGAATAAGTTAAAAAACAGTGCAGTGGCCCTGGGGTGTGGCTCAGTGGTTAGAGCGTCGGCCCACGGACCAGAGAGACCCGGGTTCGGTTCCCGCTAAGGGCACGTACCTCGGTTGCAGTTTGTCCCTGGCCCTGTTGGGGTCATGTGGGCGGCAACCAGTCGATGTATCTCTCTCACATTGATGTTTCTCTCTCTCTCTTCCTCCTTCTCTCCCTCCCTCGCTATCTGAAGGTAAATGCAAAAATGTTCTCAGGTGAGGATGGAAAAAAAAACCAGTGCAGTGGGCAGAGCCCTAGACGGAATCCAAACAGCTGGCTGAGGTCTCAGCCCCCATGGACGGCGGTGACCTTGGGCAAGCCCCCCCCCCCCGCCCGGGCCCTCTGAGCTCTGTCTTCCCACCCGGAAAATGGACCCGCTCCCCACAGCTGTCAGCAAGGCCTGCTAACCTCTCAGTCTTCACAAGACTCCCTGCAGCCCCCACCTTCCCATCTCAAACTCTCAGGGGGTCAAGTCAGGTCAAGTTCTACAAAATCACCAGGGGCCCCAGGAGCCCAAGGTGACGCCTGCCGCTGCGAAGAAAGGGAAGTGCCGCCCACGTGGCCGCCACGGCTGGCGGGGTGAACGCTCCGGGCCACGACGAGCAAGCCACAGGGCGTGCTCTGCAAAGGCGGGAGCTGGACCCCGGGACCCCGGCGGATCTGGGCCCTGACCGCCAAAGGAAGTCACACCTTCCGGCAGGGACAGCAGGCTGCATCTGAGGGCTTCAGGCACGGGGGGTGGGGAGCAGGAGGACCTCAGCCACCCCCTCGCCGCCTGGGCTGGCAGAGCCCCTCTTTTCACACCAGGGGAACAGGAGCCCCTCCCCTGCGCCTGGGCCAGGTGTTGCCCGTCCACTGTGGCCGAGAGCAGCCCCGAGTGGGAGGGACCCAGGCTTCCATTCAGAAGCTGCCGGGATATTTTCTTTCCCTTCTCAAGGGACAGCAGAGGTGTGCCCAGCCCCACGCAGGCTCCCCTGAAGCTGCCAGAGAGGCAGTCACCAAGCTCACCGGGGTCTGCTCCCCGCCGGCTGACCTCCCGGAGAAGGGCAACAGGGAGCAGGGGGCTGTGACCCACAGAGGGCCCAGCCCACCCAATGCTGGGCCCAGAGTCGGGGGAGAGCTGAGGGGCGACCCTGAGCCCTGCCCATGAGCACCCCAGCCTCAAGTCCATCTGTCCAGGCTCCCAGAGAGATCCGTCCCATTCCCAGGCGAAACCGCAACGGTCAGCACAATGCAGCCCCCTGGGCCACCTCCCAGCCCCGCCAGGTGGGTACTGTCCTGATAGGAAAACAGAACCCACCCAAGACCGAACGGCGAGGGGCACAGACATGGAAACCCGGGCGTCTGCCTTCAGCCGCCCCGTCCTCCACCCCCTACACCCCCAAACATGCTTCTCACAGCCCACACACACACACCTCCTCGCCACGGAGTAGGGTGCGGGGCTGTCTGCAGAGACAGCAGCCGACAGGAGCAATTAGACGCCAGGAAGGAGCTGGGCTATCGACCGCTTCTGCAGGAAGGGGGGCCGCGTGGGCAGCCGGGCTCCCGGCCAAGCACAGGCCAAGGCCAGGGGCTTCACTCCCGGGCCTGCACAGGCTCAGCTCAGAGAGGCCGTCTGTCCGCCCGCCCGTCTGTCCGCCGGTGGCCCCGACAGCCCGCAGGGACCTGGAGCCCCGCTCCTGGGGGTTCCCGGTGCAGGCACAGGCTAAGCCCTCCACGCTCGCCGACTGGTTTGATGCCACACCCGCCCCACGCGCGAGGCGCTCTGACCCGCCCGGGTTCCCTTAGCAGAAGCGCATCCAGGCGTCCGCAGTGACCAGACACCCGCCCCAGAGCCCCAGCCCCAGGAAGCCAAAGATGGGGGGCCCGCAGGCTCTCTGGGAATGGTGCACAGAGGACGGGTGAAGTGGAAACTTCCAGATGCCCCTGGATGCCCCTCAGCGGCCCCATCACAGGCTCCCGTAAAGGTAACTCGGGTCATGGACCCAGAAGCACGAGGTAAGCGCCCCAAAGGGTTAGCTACTGGGTTCCCCGGGAGAGGGGCCTGCGGCTTGTCCTTAAGATCACAGACCCTTCCCGCCCAGGAACGGGGTCCCGGCCACTGGTGGCCGCAGGGCCGGCCGGGCGCGGCCCGAGGGTGCTGCGGGGCCATCGATCACCAGGAGCAATTAATTGTCCAGGTCAAGAGATAGTGAAAAGGATTTGTCACCAGGGCCCAGGGGACAGTCCAGCCAGTCTGGCAACCCAGGCGGGAGGGTGGTTCCCGCTGACCTGGACCCTGAACACATCTTCCAGCACCCCCTTTCTCTGCCTCCCCCACTGGCCTCCCGCGTGCTCCCCGCTCACAGGCTCAACCCCCCAGAGAAGGCCCCAGCCCAGCAGCCCCCGCCCTAGCGCGGGACGAGGACCAGCCCCAGCCTCAGCGACCTGTGCCCCAGGAGGGACCAGCCCACCCTGCCGGCGGTGCCTACCTGCACTGCGGTCCAGCCGGGCCAGCCCAGCTCACCTCAGGCTGTCTCCTCGGCTATAAAAGGTCACAACAGCCAGGGAGGCCGCAACCGGGCTCCCAGCCCAGCTCTGCCCGTCTGCAGAGCCTGAGGGAGGCGCCTTGCTGCTCTGAGCCTCAGTTTCCCCATCTGTGAAGTGGGGGCACTGCCGGGGACTGCGTTGTGAGAAACACAGCCTGGCCCTGCAGGTGCTGAGTTCAAGCTCATGCCGGGGTCCACCATCCCGAGCCCTGCTGAGGTGATAGTCATAAGCCCGGCACCTAGGACACCCCGACTCAAGGCCCCGAGCCAGGCCAGGGCGAGACCCCTGAGCTCAGGCCCCCACCCCGGCCCCCGCAGCAGGACCCCAGGGGAGACTCGGGCGTTGGTGGCCGCCACACACACCCCAGGCTCGGTGGCTGGTTGTCATGCAGAACAGAACTGTCCAGACACACACCGTCCTCCCCCAGGTCCTCCGACAGGGCAGGGGACCCCCGGGAGGCTCTCCCAGCTTTCGACACCCCGGGTCTGCACCAAACCCCTCCACGCCCACCCGGACACGTGCCTCTCAGAGCCACTGTGACGTGAGACGCCAATGAACCCCTCCCTCGCTGTGCCCACAACACAGACGGGAAAGCCAAGGCCCGAGCAACTGGTGGAGGGCAGCCTGCACCCTCTTTGAAGTCCCACAGGGGCACGAGCCGGCTCAGCAGGTGCTCAGCAGCCCAGGGCACCAAAGCCAGGATGGCACTAGTCAGAGTGAGAAACTCCGCAGAAACTGAAAACAGCCCCCGAGGCCCCACAGGCTCCCCGAGTGAACCGCGCTGATTCACAGTCGGCCTGTTGGAAAGTTCCTGCTTCTGTGGCCAGGGTGGGGGTGGGGGCTGAGGGCCAGCTGAGCCCTCGCGGGGATCACACCCAGACTCACAGCCCAACACCCTGAGGTCCATCGGCCCAGCAGGGCTTGTGGCTGGGGGGCGGGCAGAATCTCACCCCGGGCACAGGCTTCTCCTCTGCCGGCTGCGCTCAGCCCACAGGGAGGCCAGGGACAACAGCGTGGTGACCGCAGGATGTGGCCTGAGACCTGAGTAGGTCTGCTGTCCAGCTGTGTGACCCCAGCACACGGCTTAACATCTCTGAGCCCTTCCTCCCCCGTGAGACGGGCCGACTCAGCTCACTGCGAGCACACACAGAACGCCGAGGGCGCGGCGAGAGCCCGGTGAACGCGCCCCTCCCTCCGCTCCCAAACGGTGGCTCTGTCGAGGTGAAATCCACGTGACGGGACCCATTCCAGGGGGAACAGGTCAGTGCACTTAGGACATACACAAGGCCGTGCAACCGCCACCCCCATCTGGTTCCAAAGCTTTTCCATCTCCCCAAAGGAAATGAGACCCTCCTACCCACAGAGCAGTCTCTCTCCAGCCCCCTGCCCAGGCCCTGGCACCCACCACGCTGCTGTCTGTCTGTCTTCTGGGCATTTCAGACCAGCGGAATCACACACAATGTACGTCTGGCTTCTCTCGCGCACCATGTTTTCAAGGGTCATCCGCATAGAACGTGTATCGACACTTCATTTCCTTTTCATGGCTGAACAGTATTCCGTCGTGTGGATAGACCAATGACA